CACACACACACACACTCTCTGTAATCGCGTTTATACCGTTTCTTACGTTTGTGTGGTCCACCACCAAGATGCTGATAGATTAACAGGTATCTCAACATGATTTGAAGAAAGATACAGACCTTAACACAGGAGCAGAACTCAGTGGAGTCGGTGCTGCCATCACAGCTAACGATAGCCTGCGGTAGCTAACAGCTACTTAGCATCTTCAGCTAACGTTAGCAACTTATTTTGGCCCCAGTTATTTAGTTTAGTTTATTTCTCTGGCTGGACGACTTATTTGGGAAGTGTTTTTAGTTAATCGGAGAAGAGATATAACTGAAAAAAAAAAGATTGTTAACGTTAACTAGCTCCATGCGGAACTGTTTTGCTAATGAGAGGAAGAGGTGAAGTGAGCACAAAGTACTTCCGGTTTAAACCACATACCAAAATAAAGCTCTTTCCATCTGAGACATTTAGAGATTGAACATCTTTTTGTTTTTGTTTTTTTTAAAAAGGTGTTAATAGTTCCTTATAAAGTCAAATTTCTATTCAAATTAAGCCAAATGTTTCTAACATTTTTAGATCATTTAAAAATGTTTTCTTTTTTTTGTTTATTCCATATTCAACTTCAACATCAAGTACATACATTTGCCATTTGCACTTCAGTGAGTGACTAAATTCCTACTGGTAGAATACAATGTACAGTGAAAAAATAAATGGAAAAAATGTTTTGTCTTCTAAATGACAAAGATTACAAACATAGTTCATATTTCCTAAATGTTTCCATCCCTCACTTTATCGGATACATTCAGTGTAATAATTAGAACTTCATTTTAAATGCAGTACAAAACCTTTGCCTTATAAGTTTAAAGCATTTCTGAATGTTATTGCATTGTTTTTTTTTTCAAATATGAACATCTCCAGTACATTTGAATGAACTTAACATTCCTTTGAAAGTGACCAAATCTGAAGTGCATCAAAACTAATTGAATATTCTTATAGTGTGACTAAATAATGCAACAACAAAAAATATGTTTTGGTTACTAAATTCCCTTAAATGGTTTAATATCTATGTACATATACATTGTATAAACAATACTGTATTATATGGAAAAGACAGACCTCAGTGCCAACAAGAAAGCACCAAAAAACGATAAGTATTGTCAAGTACTTTGAATCCTATAAACAAGTCCTAAACCACTAAAGCATTTGTACTGTGACATTGTGTGTGTCTTCCTGTGCCTGCTGGTGCTTTTCACTCAAACACATTTTTATTTTTTCAGAATAAGCAGCAGAACATAAATGACACAAACTTGGTTTGACACTGGAGTATTTTGTCATGTTTCTAATACTTTCACTCAGCCCTCATCGCAGCTCCCTCTCCAAAAATAGCAACTGCTAATAATTGCGATCACAGGTCAGGAAGTATTTCAGCCTTTTATTTAGGCATCCTTGACATCCCTGGCAGTCTCTGTCTCTCCCTGACACTTTCTGTCATTCAGTCTTCTTATCTGGCGTTGTCCTGAGAAAGAAGGCAGGCCGCGTGTTGCAGCGGTAGCACAGAGCCTGAGGCACCACAGCATACAGGACATTGACCAGCAAGAAGACAGGCTGTCTGTCAGCAGGCACTCTGTAGGAGAACGGTGTCCGTGTGTGAAGAGATGCACCAATATGAGAGAACTGGGCCTGTGACGTGAGGCAGAGACGGACAAATTGTTACGTGTTACGTGTGACTAACATCTTCACAGTTAATATATTCACACTCACACTTGTCTTATATCACTTGCTCATTAAGATTTTAAATATGTATAACAATATCTTGTGCTCCTGCTGTGAGAACTCCATGATTATGATGTCTGTCATGTCATGTATGCATTCTGGTCTTAATTAGATATTTTCCATCTTTGTCTCTTCTACAAACAGATTTCTCTGTATTACTGTGTTCAACAACATTGCAAAACTGTGAATAGGAGGAAATGCTTTCATAACAAATCCTGAATGCTTGCTGTAAAAGAGATGCTGCTGTATCACACTCCAATGTTTAATATATCCTGACATCACATTGTCAGCAATTTGCAATCCATACAGAGGAATTAAAATAAAAATAAAACACAAGTAAAAAATAAATAAATAAAAAATAAGCTCAGGGAATGATTGTTTTAGGGTGGGTTATTCCAGGGTGTATGAAGCCTAGACAAATTTGTGTATTGCCCCTCATCCAGAAATATTTTTTCAGATCCTGCCAGTTACCATTTCATAGAAAGTCACTGAAAAAAGACACATGACATGTTTCATAGCAACCACGGCTGTCAGAGCATCAGCTTTCCTATTAATAGCCAGGCTGGACAGCTGACATTTAAGCGAATACCACCACTCCTCCTGGTCTGAAGTCAACTTCTGCCCTTATCCCACCGGTGAGTGACGCGCCAGCCTGCAGCTCAAACACAATAGTTGCTTTGTACTGTTGAGATGCGATTGGCGCACTAGCTGCTCCCACCACTCTTCAGAGTTTCCATCTTTAGATGTAAACCGATAGTGTGTATGGCACTGATTCAGACCATATATGTTTATAGATGGCCACTGGTGTTTGATTGCACTAAAGAATAACCTCAACCTGAAACCACTATATCGAAGAGAAAGCCTAGACTTTGACACTCTTGGTATAGCACTGCCTAATCTATCTGTAACGGTAACATCATGTGAGGAAAGAAAAGATTTATCACAGAACTTTTCTATGGAGGACCTTTGTGTGACTGCAAACGATGAAAAACACAACATCGTCCAGATAATTTAGCAAACCTGGCAGATATTTAATCTATATTGAGGGTTAGAGATTGATAGCTCAGTGTTATATTTTCTTTGTCTTGGTAATACCATTTATACGTTTGGTTTTTTAGTTTAAATGTGAAGAAATTCTGCTGAAATTGACACGACACTTTTAGAGAAACTGATATACATGAAAAATAAAGGTGTAAAACTATTTTTGTCTTTCAAAATATGTTTCATGATTCCTTGTTTTATTGCAGAAAAGCATAATAATAATAATAATAATAATCACAATAACAATAATAATAATACAATAAATACAACCTTTAAACAAAGTTGTTTTACATATAAAATAAAACAAAACAAACATTAAATGCAAAGCCATATGCAAACAATCATAAAAGACATAAAGACAAAGGCATGCACAACCAAATGTTACTCTAGGCTGCCAGTCCAGTGGAGAAAATGTGATGAAGTTCCCTGCAGGGTGCTAACTCTAACTAAGCTCATTCACTATAAATGCATCACAACTTTCTGCATGCTTTTTTCGCCCCTGCCCCTCAAACACCACTGATGTAGTTTCATCTCAATCAGCAGTCTGGGGGCTTTACTAACCCTAAACACCTGTGCTCACATCACATGGGATGGATGGTAGAGATGAGAAAGAATCCCATGTTAGGTCAATGTGTGTTAAAATACTGCCCTTTATAGCACTTTATCCATTCAATTTTGGTTTGATTACAGTGAACGACAGACTGACTGATGAGAGGCGTCCATGTTTGCTTGATTTCCGGACACTTTTGGAAACAGTTTGGACCTTTCAGAAAAGTAACATTTTCACAGTCTTGATTACAACACTGTTGTTGTGAATGAGTTTGGAACTGGTAATCACGATAACTCTGGTGTTACTTGAATGCAGTATTAGCCTTCTTTTCTGAACTGTTTGTTCTGCTGACATCCGTTTGACTCTCCTAATTAGTTTTCAGCCAGACTGGATTCACCTTCAACCTGATCTGAGGTCTAATCAGCCAGATTAAGTGAAAACCTGTGGCAGTGCAGGATCTTTAACTGCAAAGGTTTTCTTTGGTCACCAGCCAAGAGTGAGGAATAACCAGCAGGACGTACCTGTGCCAGTGCTCCTGAGTGTACCAGAGTCAGGTCCCTCATCCACTCACATCCTGGGACCATCAGCCCGTAGAGAGTAATGATGTAGTATGGTCCAGAGTACAGCATGCTCGCCAGCATCTGATAAACGAGAATACAATTTACTGCATCAGAGATTTGTGAGATGAGACAGTGTTAGGATAAAGGTTGGTATATAACTTTATAACTTCACTGAGCTACCTGTACTTTGGGATAGGCTGAAGGGTCTCTGAGGTAAGGCTCATACTGTTGTGTGTATTCTTGACACCATTTGCTGGAACAGTCCAGAACAATCTAAAAAACAAACAGGGTTGAAATACGGAAGAAATCTGCTTAAAGAATTAAATATTGCACTATTGTATGTGCATTGTGATCATCTTAGGATTTCATACCAGGCCTCTGAAGACACAGAAAGCAAAAGCAGGGATGAGGTAGATGGTGAACAGTAAGTCCAGAGGTCTGTGGAATAATCCTTTTCTTTCAGCCGCCTGGATACTCTGAGGGAAAGCAACAATATGATTAAACTGCGATCTCTATCAATGACACGGTGCTGGTCAAACATTTTGGTTGGTACTCTAAGAAAAAAAAATTAAGCCAGGAATTGAACTTGCAATTCCTGCATTTTAAAAATCTACTGCACTTGGCTTTTTAGACATACTGTAAAGCACTTTCTTCCACACAGTTCCCCTTTTAGTAGAGGGTGTGTGTGTGTGTGTCCACCTTTTAGTATAATTTCATCACATGTTTCACTTTGCTTTAATGTTTGATTATTGAAAAGTTCTCAAAATAGAATATTTAAAAAGAAATTCTGAAAAATATTTTCTAATTAAAAAAACATCTCTGCATACTTTGCATTTCCTCATACATAACAGTCAATTAAACAGTATAGGTGGGAATCTTTAATACCATTCTTTATTGCAACAGCGGCCAGTTTTGATCTTGACTTACAGTCCGCTGAACATCCCGTGTGGAGGACTGGCTGAAGATGTGGAAGCAGGCCCAGACAGACACTGTGATATATAGCATGTGGAGGAGGAAGAAAGGGCCAATGTGGGTCCCATATTTCCCTGAGAAAGGACAAAGCAAGATAATATCTCACTGTGGGAAAGACAAAAACCAAAAAAAAAAACTATTTACTTTTTTATTCTGGGATACTGGGCAAAAAACTGCAACATTTGGACTTTTCTCAGAGGAAGTATGTGTTGAGGGTACAGAGGCTATACCCTATCTCAAGGCATCCAATTATTTTTAGTGTACTTACCAATAGCATTCCCAAGAATGTAGACTATGGCATGCATGAGAAAAGATCCCACCCAGTAGAGTCCAATGGCTCGGTAACTGTCCCTGTGCAAACCACGTAACACTGCCATTGTCAAAGCCAAATGAACACATTATACTTCCAAAGACTCTACATAGATAGATAGATAGATAGTGTAAACTTATGTATACAAATACGCTTTTACCCCCAAGTAATGGCAGCAATCATGAGCAGATACATGAGATAGTGCACACAGCCATCCCAGTAGGAGATCATGTGCCCGTGTGCTGTGTTGATATGTGGATCTGCCTGAAACACAGGGTAGGTTTATCAGTAGTGGAATGTATGCATGAACACATAGACAACTCACAAACAGGACCCACAACACAACACTTGCCACTTTGAGGTAAAACGTCACAAATCCATCAATGATGTTGTCCTGCTCCAGCCCGCTGATCAGATTCACCACACTGAGGAATGCATACACTGCATACACTGCACAGACAGATGCATACATTTAATTTAATTTCAAAATATTATGTGATCCCCATAAGATTTTATCAATAAAATACCACACACACATACAATAACATACAAAGTAACATGTTGATATCTCTATTTTGATTTAAAAGTTATTAATTTGAAAGACAGAACCTTATGATTCCTATATGCTCTCACAACAAGAATGAACAAGAAGAACAAGATGTGCATCTGTGATTTCATACCATAGAAAAGAGGATCTGCTGGAGCCTTCTTCTTGAGCATAAAACGGGCTGAAATGGCCAGAATGAAGACTGTTGTACAGCCAGCGAAGCAAAAAGCTTCAGCACTAAATGTAATGTAAAAAGAAAAAAATGTATATTTTTAAAAATCACTGACAGTTAATTTTCAAATTATGCTAGTTACTGCTCAACTGGTGGTCAGCAGATAAATTAAAACTAACATCCAAACAAACTAAAAAAGGTGTAGGCCTATTTCAACTCACCTGTTGTTGTAAATGAGGGAATTAAATAAATAGCAGATGGGGATGGACGTCAAGGAGAGCACAAACACCCCAGTCCCTGCAGACGCGCTCATTTCGGACGAGGTTTGAAGGTTTTGTCTTCTGAGAACTGAGAATTTAAAGTATTTCAGCCGCAGAAAACTCCCATGTTTAGTCTGCAACTCATGTTTCAAGACATTGGGGCAAAGAGTCACCGTTAGTCTAACAATGCAAATGAGGCAAAAACTTGCAGTGCATGCATGCTCTGTCTTGTTCTGCTCGTCTCTCTCTCTCTCTCTCTCTCTCTAACCTACCTCTATGCCTCTCTGCCTCCTACCTACTGTCACGCATGCACGCACACAAACACACGCACACACACGCACACGTTCAGCTGTTCAGACTCACTGTGAAGGGGATCTTATATAGCAGCTTATCTAATAGACGATCTTACGGTATAGCGCTTAGCAGAATACTTGCCATTTGTTTATTTTTCATCATTATCTATAAATAGGGTGTGAGGGTTTATGTCCGTTTAGTAAAAGTGCAAACTCCTGACATCTAGCGGTCGACTGGGTAAACTGAAGCAGGATTAGCAGGATTATTTTCATTTAACAACAAATAATTTATACAGTCAGTATGAAACACAAAACACAAAATTAATTATACAGATGAATTGATCAATTTAATATGTGTTTTTGATATCCAATAAATATACATATACATATACATACATATATAATATATATATAGCTATCTATAAGTTATGTATATGTATACTGTATCATATAATATAGCGATACTACAATATACATACTAATAGATACATACCATATTAACTAATATATATATATATAAGCTAATACATAGTACACATATATATACTACATAGTAATATACACTATAAAATGTATACTACAATATCATATGCACTATACATATAACATATACATACTACAGTAATAATATATCATATAGAATATACATACTATATCAAAGATCTCATCTACATATAATATACTATATACAATACTAGTATATACTTTATTAACAATAAACATCTGTATCATCAAAACAAATCTTAGCTCTTACATTTGACTGGGGTGGGACATTATATCTCCACTTTCATCAAATCCTCCTTAAAGGTCAAAACACCTTTATATTTATATATACTCAGTCAATCAACATACCTTTTCCTTCATTTCTTTTGTTTTTTGCTTATTATATCCTAATGCCTATTCGTCTGTTTGTTTTGTGTCTTAATTCTCGTATAAAACCCGCTCGCTTTGCCTTTGTCTGTCTGCCCCGCTTCTTCTAGCAATAAAGTTTAACGAGAAAAAAAAAGTGTTTTTGACACGACCTGTGGCGCATGCGTCAACTCCTGCAGCAGACGCAAGCTAGCAGAGTTAACCCTAGCTGCGACGTCAAGTGCGCGGTGGTCTGCTTCGGCGATGGAAGCACAAACGTACCACCCCAGCAGCGAGCGCGCACCCGGACGGTCGGGGGCTTGTTCGTGAGTGTCCCGAAAACACTCTTTTCCACAAGGCGAGGATAAACAACACAGAAGCGCTGTCGTTGGTCGTATATGGGCGACAAAGGGACGG